AGATGTAAAGGATTCACCAAAGATGTCTAATTTACAGGAATAGAAGTTGGATAGGATGTTTTTTTTCGCCGCTGAACGTTTCCACATTTTTTGGGTAGCCAGTAACATACTCGGGACAACACTCATCTCCTAGGTCATGTCCGGTGTTTTGCAAGCGGCACATTTGCGGTCGTTTGTGCAGTTGCGCACTGAGTGCCCAGCTTTCCAGCATTTGGTACATGTTACCGCGGGTTTGTCCACATTTTGGCCTCTATGAAATAATTTGCATTTTAGGCCCGCGCAATAAGAGAATCGGGGAAGTGGTCCCTTTGATGGAGGATCGATGTAGATGAACCGGTTCCCATTCAGGACGTTGGTCATTTTGTTGTTGGTCGGGTTACGGATCTTTTCATACTTAAGATCGCTTTTCGGAGAAACCCCTAGTTTAGTTAACATCTCGTGTATCGCTCGTCGTCCACGGATAGGGGAACGCCGCATATTGTTACTTTTAAAGCTTGATCCCTTGGACCTTCCAGGCCGGCTGAGTACGGATTTGTGTCGTACGGAGATATGTGCTGATTTTTAAAATCGAAACCTTCCAGTAGAATTTTACTTCTGCTGTGGACATTGGTCAGATATATTCGCCACATTCGCGGTCTTATTGGATGCATTTCATCGCATCACCGACGCACGACGAAACAGCTTGAAGTATCTCAAAATTTGTAATTCGTTCATCATCGCTTTCAGATAGAAGCTCGTTGTTCTTCAAGTATACTGGTTTCAGCATTTGATCCATTTTTCAAATATTCGATATAGAATGTATTTAGTTATAACACATGCATACAAAGTATAGATAGAATTCTGCTCGCGAGTCAATATCACACCTGAGTAGGTACTCACCAGGTAAACACAGGGTATATTCGCTCTCTCAGAGTATTTTAAATCCCAAACGTGCAGTAAATGCACAAAGAATGACACTTTATATACACTTTACACTATACACACAATATATTTCTTTCCAAACAGTCGTAGAAAGAAAATATACGCTTTTTTAGCAAAAAATGTCAAGTCGATCCGAGGACAGCGAAAACACGTCCGCTGCCCACTACGCCGTGACGATTTATAATAGGAATATTTAAACAAATGAATTGTGATCAATTATAAATTTTGAAATATATAAGGACTTATTATCGGGAAAAAATAATTAACAAAGGCGTAAGCAATACTTAGTTATGTGGTTGTTCGAGTTCGAGAGTTGGTGGCACAAATTAACTGTAGAGTTTACACTAAATTGAGAGAATAATTTTGTTTAGTATGATCAGGAATTGGGTCTAATTTACGTTCATTCTGGTGAAGTCATTCAGCTTGTTAAAACCATTAGGGCGGAATGACTTCAATCTGTGCATCCAGAACTTTTCTTTGCTTTTCCTCTGAGCATCTGTCCATCTTGGGTTATGGTCAAACACCACTACTGTCATGTCCTCCCATTTGTGACCCTCAATGTTGAAATGTTCCCCAACGGGTTCATTGAGTTTTTAGGTCACCTGAGTAAACTCAGGTGACCTATTGCCATCTGTTTTCGTCCGTCGTCGTGCGTCGTGCGTCGTGCGTCGTCCGTTAACATTTGAACATTTTCAACTTCTTCTCTGCAACCACTGAACCAATTTCAACCAAATTTGGCACAAAGCATCTATGGGTGAAGGGAAACAAAAATTGTGAATTTCATGGTCCCTGCCCCCCTGGGGCCTGGGGGGTGGGGCAAAAACCACTAAAATTAATGCAATCTTTAAAAATCTTCTTCTTTACTCCTGGATATCAAGCAGTTAAACTGTTTGCATGATTGTAATCAGCATTGAGTCTTCTACCAAAATTGTGAAATTTATGGCCCCAGGGTCAGGGGTTCTATAGCTAGGGCGGGGCTAAATACGTATATAGTGAAAATGCATTATTTCTTTGAAAATCTTCTTCTCTGCTCCTGGGTATTAAATAAAATAACTAAGTGCATAGTTATGATGAGCAAGGGTGCCTCTACCAAAATTGTGAATTTTATGGCCCTAGGGTCAGGGGTTCTAGTGTAAGGGCGGGGCTCTATAGATTATATTGTGAAAATTCATGAATTCTTTGAAAATCTTCTTCTCTGCTCCTGAGTATTAAATAAACTAACTAAGTGCATAGTTATGATGTGCAAGAGTGCCTCTACCAAAATTGTGAAATTTATGCCCCCGGGGTTAGGGGTTCTAGTGCTAGGGTGGGGCTAAATAAGTATATAGTGAAAATGCATTATTTCTTTGAAAATCTTTTTCTCTGCTCCTGGGTATGGTTAAATAAACTAACTAAGTGCATAGTTATGATGTGCAAGAGTGCCTCTACCAAAATTGTGAATTTTATGGCCCCAGGGTCAGGGGTTCTAGTGTAAGGGCGGGGCTCTATAGATTATATTGTGAAAATTCATGAATTCTTTGAAAATCTTCTTCTCTGCTCCTGAGTATTAAATAAAATAACTTAGTGCATAGTTATGATGTGCAAGAGTGCCTCTACCAAAATTGTGAAATTTATGGCCCCGGGGTCAGGGGTTCTAGTGCTAGGGTGGGGCTAAATAAGTATATAGTGAAAATGCATTATTTCTATGAAAATCTTCTTCTCTGCTCCTGGGTATTAAATAAACTAACTAAGTGACATAGTTATGATGAGCAAGAGTGTCTCTACCGAAATTGTAAATTTTATGGCCCTAGGGTCAGGGGTTCTAGTGTTAGGGCGGGGCTCTATAGATTATATAGTGAAAATTCATGAATTCTTTGAAAATCTTCTTCTCTGCTCCTGAGTATTAAATAAACTAACTAAGTGCATAGTTATGATGTGCAAGAGTGCCTCTACCAAAAATGTGAAATTTTAGCCCCAGGGTCAGGGGTTCTAGTGCTAGGGTGGGGCTCTATTGATTGTATAATGGAAATACATGAATTCTTTGAAAAAATTTCTTTTCTGCTCCTAGGAATTAAATAAACTAAGTACATAGTTATGATGAGCAAGAATACCTCTTCCAAAATTTTGATTTTATGGCCCTAGGGTCAGGGGTTCTAGTGATAGGGTGGGGCTCTATTGATTATATAGTGAAAATACATTAAATCTTTGAAAATTTTCTTCTCTGCTCTTGGGTATTAAGCAGATGAACTGCCTCTGTAGTTATGATGAGCAAGGACCCTAATCTTCCAGAATTGTTAATTTCAAGGCCCCAGGGTCAGGGGCACCATAGGGGGGTGTACTTATATGCTGAAACTGGATGAATTGTTTGAGATCTGCTCCTTGGTATTAATCAAATATTTTTGAAAAGCAAGGGTGCCTTTTCAAAAATTGTGCAATGTGTGGATCTAGGCCTAATGGTCAGGGGTTCATGTGTGATAGGGGCATTACTGATTATTGCTGAATATTACTGATTACTTGAAATGCATTTTTTGTTCCTCCACCCTGCCTATGTGTATTAAGTAAACAAAATAAGCAACTGTTAAGTGTATTGTTATGATGATCAAATGGTGCCTCTTTCAAAATTGTGAATGCCATAGCATCTTGCTTAAAACATGAATCAAATAAAATCTCTCGAAAGTTGTTGCATAATGCTCAGGTGACCTATAAGGCCCATGGGCCTCTTGTTTTGTCCTAATGGTCGAACGGTGGTTATTGACTCTCCTACGGAGATCTCCTGTTTCACTAACATACTGTTTGGAGCAAACTTTGCAAGTGATGAGATAAATGCAGTTGTCAGTATGACAGGACAAATTCCCTAGTATTTTGTAGCTGCGGCCTGTAACAGGGCTTTTAAAACTGTCTGTGCCAGTGCTGTGCTTACAAAGAAGACATCTCCTGTCAGAGCAAGTTTTAAAGCCCCCGTTAGGTAATGGGTTGTCCAGTCTGGTTCTTACTACCATGTCCTTTAGATTCCTTGGGGTCTGTATGTAGCCAATGGGGGTTCCTTAAAGACCTCTGTCATTCGTTTGTTTGAATGGAGAATTGGTAGGTTCTTTTGAAGGATTTATCTCATCACTTGCAAAGTTTGCTCCAAACAGTATGTTGGTGAAACAGGAGATCTCCGTAGGAGAGTCAATAACCACCATTTGACCATTAGGACCAAAAAAACTCAATGAACCCGTTGGGGAACATTTCAACCTTGAGGGTCACAAATGGGAGGACATGACAGTAGTGGTGATTGACCATAATCCAAGATGGACAGATGCTCAGAGGAAAAGCAAAGAAACGTTCTGGATGCACAGATTGAAGTCATTCCGCCCAAATGGTATTAACAAATTGAATGACTTCACCAGAATGAACGTAAATTAGACCCAATTCCTGATCATACTAAACAAAATTATTCTCTCAATTTAGTGTAAACTCTACAGTTAATTTGTGCCACCAACTCTCGAACTCGAACAACCACATAACTAAGTATTGCTTACGCCTTTGTTAACTATTTTTTCCCGATAATAAGTCCTTAAATATTTCAAAATTTATAATTGATCACAATTCATATGTTTAAATATTCCTATTATATGATTTTTCTTTCATTATTCTTTATTAAGTAAAGTTACGCCATTTTGAAGGAATGAAATAACGTACGATTTACTGATTGTCGTAATTAATTAGCATAATTAATTCGTTCAATTATGTAAATCGTACTTCACCCGAGTATACCCGATAGACCGGACGCATTTCATAGCGGTCCGAATTTCTTTCTTTATTAGTGTTCTTTAAAATTTCCAACTTAACATGTAATTAAGTATGTAAATATCTAGTGTTTAGTAGTTTAGTAGTAGTGCTAGTTGTTTTTGTTTCTCTTTCTCCTTTCTTCTTATGACTTTTTAACTTTTTCTTTGTCCTGAGGAAGGGACAGGGCATCCCGAAAATTTGACAATTTTTATTGTTCGTGTCGTTGGTCATTTTTAGTGCTTTATATATATATGTATATATATATAGGAAAATTCTTTAAAAATCTTCTTATCAAGAATGACAAAGCTATAATTTATCTTATCTATATGAAAACATTCTCAGGTAGTGATCCCGGTGGTAGGACAGGGCCAAAATGACCTAAAAAATTTATTCATAGAAATATATAGGAAAACTTTTTAAAAATATATTTCTCAAGAATTCCAAAGCCATAATTGATCATATTCATATGAAAGCATCCTCAGGTTGTGTAGATTCAAGTTTGTTCAAATCATAACCCCTGGGGGTAGGGAGCGGCCACATTTGCCGACCAAAGTTTAACATGAATATACATATATATATATATATATATATATATATATATATATATATATATATATATATATATATATATATATATATATATATATATATATATATATATATATATATATATATATATATAGGAAAATCATCTTATTAACAATAGCAAGTCCATGATTGGTCATGATGGGACTACTTTTGGATTTAAATTTTTTAATAATGAACCAATTTCTAAATTTTCCTAGCAACAGTGATCAAGTGAGTGATGTGGCACATGGGCCTCTTGTTTTGTCCAAAAAGCAAAAACTACAGTGAGTGATGTGATACATGGACTTTCTGTTTATTTGTAGATGGAGACGCAGTTTTGATGTGCCTTCTCCTTTGTGCTTCATACAAAATAAATCTAGAAGAAAAACACTGGATAGAGAAGTATAATGCTGTTGCTGAAGTTTTTAAATTCAAGAAGATTAAGAAGCCGTCCAATCTTAGCAGCCTAAAGAAGCACAAACCAATACTCAAACAGGATAGTGTGAATGTTGAATTTTCCTGCGAATTCTTTAGAGACACCAGCTTTCTTAGATTTGCCAAAGATAGAGCATTTGTGAGTATGTTTCTGGATTGGGCAGAAAAAAAAAGCATTGCAAAATACTGCAGATCATCAAATTATCTGAGAAAAGAGATTGAGGAAGAAGTTTGCTGTTGGTTATTGCCAAATCAAACAGAGCAGCTGATAGAAAAACTTGGAGAAGACATGTTCACACATACAACGATGATGGACCAATCAATACATGAATTAGTGTATACCAAGCGTATGTTTCTTTTATTTGTTTTTCAAGTGTCTCTAACATTTTGCTGTTTCTTTCAGTATTTTTTTCAAAGTTTATCCTCGCAGTACAGTTAAGGTTACAAATGGAAATATCAGCGATTTTTTCAAGATGAAAAATGCATACTTTTTTAGGATGGGCAATTCTTTTTAGGTCTTCACTGATTTAAAAAAATATGTGAGCAGTACAGCTGATAGTTTTCTGTTTAATAAACGTAGCTTCATCAATATTTATTTAGTAAATAATTAAAATGCATAGAACAGTTAAAGCTTTACTCAACTACATGAAGTAAATAGGCTTACGCGACATTTGTTCCTGTCCACTTTATTGGAACTGTGATATATTTTTACTTTTATTGTGTGTTGTAATTCAGAATGAAAGAGACATATTCTTGTCATTGTAGTCGGCATACCAGTACAGGTTATAATGAGAGGAGATGATTCTGTGAGGAATTTCTTGGACAATCTGAAGAAGGGAGAGACGACCATGTACCACGCCTCTGGGATGATCATTGGCTGTGCTGGTAGTGGGAAGTCAACCTTGCTTGAAAGACTGAAAGGCATCGAACTGAAAGAAATTCTGGAGAGTTCAAAGTCAACCAGGGGAATTGATGTCCAGGCTGACATATTTGATGTAACTGGAAAAACAATCAAGGGTATGATTTTTTTTAATCTTATCAGATGAAGTATTCCAAATAACGTGTTACAATCAAGACATGGCATAAGGCATGTGTTACAAACACTTTGACTAACAGCACTTAAAACTGTTTGGCAAACTTTACAGTAACGCTGCAGAAAAAAATACTGTAGTATCTATGTCTGGATTATATTGAAAAAATATGTTTGTGACAACAAAGCTCAAGAAAGCTGTTTTTAGCACATTGGTCACAGTCAAGGTTACATTCATTGCCTTTGGTGCCATTTTAAAGAACTTAATAAGTGAAGTTTGCATACCAACACAAGAAACGAGACATTCAATTAAAACTTTATGGCGGCTTTCAGTGACTTTTCAGATGCCATTCAGCCAAAACAATACAGGACAAAACAATATATGCCCCGAATCTATTTAACACAAAACACAGTCTAAAAATCTAGAAAACACAGTAGAAAAATTCAAGACAGTTAAGAATTGGCATAACGATTGCTTACGCATGTATGTGTGATCCTGATGAAAGACCAGAAGGTGACAAATGTAAGAAAAAGATGAAAAGATAAAGAAAGATATGGAGATAACGAACAGTATTCAATCTCAAGGTCCATAAAACAATACAAAACGAGCAGAGCATACACAGACCTCCGATACATCAGAGGTGGGATCAGGTGCCATGGAGGAGTGAGCATCCCCTGCCCACCGGTCACACCCATCGTGTGCTCCTTGTCATGATCAGAAGATAACGGAAAAATCTGTCGTCATTTCTGTTTTTAAATAATGGACTAACAATTGGTATGAAAACATCAGACAGCATTTGACTAAAATTATTTCAAAATTCAACAATCTGTCTCAATTTTATACATTTGGTTACCAAGAGTTCGTGGCATAGTGGTATGATTGATGGATTGAAGACTGGATTGGATTGGATTAATGACCGTGAGTTCGAGTCTCACAGTGCGTGTTACTTAACTACGATTTTATTTTTTTTCTCTCTGTGCATTTTTTCCTATGTTTTCTTTTATTATTTTATAATACATGTATAAATAGTGTAAGAGATATACAATACAACATTACACTTTCAAAGTATCTTGGGGAAACAGTCTTAAACTATTTTAATGACCCAAAGTCATAGCTTCTCGCCGTTTTATTTTTTAAAAATTTCAAACAATCTTGTTTAGAATAAGACTATTGGACAAGTAAAATTACTGTCATGCAAAAAACTTTGAAAATATAACACTGGTTCACAAATGATTACATACATGTAGTTTGATTTTGAATTGAAAAAGGTACATGTATCTATAAATAGAAACAGGTGATTTCCTTTTTTAAAAATACATGAGTAGGCCGAATCGTCGGTAAGGCAGCTATGGCTCTTTGTGACTTAAAAGCAGCTATGGCTCTTTGTGACTTAAAAACTGTGGATGTCCAATATCAGCAGATTCAAATTGAGCTGAGTAATGACCTTGAAAATGAAACCATGTTATATAAACTTCTGAACCATTATTCCATCATAAACTTGAGTATTTTTTAAGAGAGAGAGGCTTTCGTGCCTGACTTGTTCAAAATTTCATAAAATGAGTTGAATCAACTAAGCCAGTGATGTTCAAACTTGTTTGTAACTTATAGAAATTAATATAATGATTAATATGATTCAAAAGAAAAATCTTTTTTTTTTTTGGTTTTGCAGTTAATTCATCAAGCCAGAAACAACGTTTTAAAGTTAAAATTGATGAATCAAGCCAACAAAAGAGTATTCAGAACAAACCTGCAGAAATGTCTGGTGACATGAAAAAGTTGGACATTGAAGAGAATGTATATCAGGAGGATATAGGCAGTAGAACAAGCGATAAAGAATCAGTCAGTGATGAAGAAATGTCACATGAGAGCTTGAATACAGAATCTGAATCACGTAAAGGGAATGAAGCTGCTGCCTTTCTGGAAAAAGAGGAGGACGTAGTTGAGGACAGCAGACAAAATGTTCCTGAGAAAATTGAAATATCAGGAATTATACGAGTTTCCAAAAATGTATCGGGTGCTCCAGAGAAAAAAATTACCATGGTAGACTTTGCGGGACAGTGTTCATATTATGCCTCACATCAGATTTTTCTGAGTCCCCGGGCATTCTTCATTTTAGTGCTTAATATGGAAAAGAAATTACTTGAAAAGGTTGGAAAAGAAGTCTGTAGCCAGGATGGTTCCATTTACGAAGGATGGACACACAAAGGTATGTTTTTATTACATGATTAAAGTTTATTATGTGTAGTTGTCTAGTATCTGCTGAAGCAATTGCATTATAAGTATGGAAATTCTTTCTGCTTAATTTTTTTAATTGACAAGCATTCTCTTTTAAAGGCATAATTTCGTAACCTCTATGGTCGAAACAATGACCTTGAAAACTGCTATTAAGATACCTGGTATAACAACAGTTCAAATTGATTGAGATGATTGTTATGGTCTATGGATTTAGTCAAGTCTATGAAAAGGTCATAGGGCCTACATTCAAAATTAGGCTTTATTCGTTGCTCATTACAGAGGTTTTATTAATTTCAACTGAACAGGATTTAGGCCTCAGGAAATTGAAAATTTATTGATAGTATTACTTGTATGATTGAGTTCTTGTTAAAGATGTTTTTTATACGCCCCGAACAATAGATCCAGAGCGAATATTGTTTTTGTCCTGTTTGTCTGCCTGTCTATATGTTTGTTTGTTTGTCTTGAACTTTAACCTTCACTTTAACTTTTGAACCATGAAAGATACAGACTTCATATTTGGTATGCATACTCCACTTGTAAAGGTCTTTCAAATGACACCAAGATCAATGACCCTGTGACCTTAACTGTGGCCTACTAGTATATGCTTAAAATAGCTTTTTTCTGCAAACTCTAACCTTCTCAATAACTTTTGAACCATGAAAGATAGAGACTTCATATTAAGCATGCATAGTCCAAATATTCAGATTCTTTCAAATGATACCAAGATCATTGACCTTTTGACCTTGACTGTGAACTATATGCTAAAAAGTATCTATTTTGAGCCCTCACTATAGATTTTGAACCATGAGAGATTGAGATTTAACATTTGGTACGCATACTCCACTTATAAAGCTCTTTCAAATGCCATCAAGGTCAATGATCTTGTGACCTTAATGCTAAAAATAGCTTTTTCCGAACTTTGTTGCCGCCAGGCGCATAGTGTTTCACAAACACATCTTTTGAAGATGAATACAGCCATAAACATGATATAGATTATTACATGAAGTTTAATGTAGGCTTACAGGGTGGTGTATCATGTACACTTATTAATAAAGTTACTGAGTAAATATTGATTTTTATTTTATTCAGACTATCTAACATTCTGGATCAAGTCCATTCATCAATACAGCAGTGAAAAGGCTCCTGTTATACTGGTGGGCACGCATGCTGAACAAAAGACAAAGGAGGTATTTGATAGCACTGTAAAAGCTTTTTAGTTCTTTGAAACGGCAGAAGCAAAGGAATTTTTTTATCAAATTTGCCCTCTGTCTGTCGTCTTTTAATATTTTAGAACTCTTTTCAATTATCGCTGGGCTAATTTCAACCAAACTTAGCACAGACTATACTGTAAAGATATACTAAAATACAGGTGAAAGGAATTTAAATTAGTCCAAATCAAGGCCTATTAAAAAAAATTTCCTGAAAACTTGCTCTATGATTATTCAATGTTTTTAAATTTTAAGAAAAACTGGTATATTTGAGTACTTTCAGAGAAGAAAAAAATGAGCAGACTCTTTAATCCAAAATTATACAACATGTGTTGTAATCCTTAACAAATACCAGTTCCATCCTTTTATCATTATGACATATTTAAGATCTGATATTGCGTTCTATAGAAAATATCGGAGAGAACTTTAAAATTTGGTTGTTTTGTTGCTTGCTTAAGAATATAAGGGGAATGTCGTAATTCATGACGTTATAATGCATGACAAAAATTTTTCGTCATTTTTTATGGATTCTCAATCGCCAAGAGTCCAAATGACATTTTATGCATTCTCAAGTGAAGCAAAGCTTTTTCACTTTTACAGAAATTTACAGAGTCAAAAATTGCCTTATGTGAATATTCGTTTTATAATTTATTTTTGATCAAATCATGTACCCCCGGGATATGGTGGGGCCACAGTTTGTGATCAAAATTTTAATGAACAATTCATTTATCCAAATGTTCTTCCAAGTTGGAGAAGAAAAATCTCCATAACATAAAGGCTATGTTTAGTCATGCTGACATGTTAGTATCCTAATGTAAGGTAATGAAGATTCAAATTTCTTTTAATCAACCTTTCAAATGAACCCTAAGTGTAGGAAGAAGTCACAAATGAGGATCGAATTTAAAAAAAAACAGCTTTCCAAGAACAGCTAAGTCTATTGTCTGCTATCTTCAGACTTTTTAACTGAATAACTCTTTTTACCAGGAAAAAGAAAAGTTTTTCCGTGATATATGGACGATCTTGGAAACAAATGATGCTTCTCTGCAAAGGCATATTGACAGGAAAAGGATGTTTGCTGTTGGATTCCATGAAAATGAATGCATTGAAAAAATCAAGCTGTCAGTTGTTGATGTTGTCCGAAATCTTGATCACTGGGGTGAAAAACTTCCGCATTCCTGGGCTATGTTTGAAAACTTCTTCCAAGAAAAGAAGAACCTTAAAGTAATCAATAAAGAGACACTTTTGACTTTCAATGAAGCATTGCCACAGGAACTGAAATTGGAAACGATCGACGATATTAACACCATGCTGCACTTTTTCCATGACACCAGAGGAATTTTACACTTTAACCAAGAATGTCTGAGAGGAATCATAATTCTTGATGTTCAATGGTTTGCAGATGCATTCAAAAATGTCATTACCGATAAAAACCATGCAGCAGAGGATTTATTTGAGCTTGCCTCACAATGGGACAAATTTAATGAAACTGGAGAACTGAGTGATACACTGTTGTCTGCGATATGGAAAATGAACAACAATGGGTACCTTGAGCACAAGGATGAAATCATGCCCTACATAGAGAAGCTTGGTCTTCTGGCTAAATTGGATGACAAAAGATGGTATGTTCCATGTATGAACAAAAGACCGTTTTCTGTTCACAGGTTTTCTGCATACCCTGCCTCCTCCATTCTCTGTTTTCTGTTTGATGCTCTTCCAGTGGGTATTTTCCAGCGCCTTATAGCGAGATGCATGGAATTCCCTTGGGCTCTTGTCAAAGAAATTAAAGATCGGAAAGAACATCCACTTATTTACCAGACTGCAGCTGTTTTCCTGTTCGAGGACGATCATAACATTTTGCTTGGAATGACCTCGACGGAGATCCAGTTGCAGGTGTTTGTAAGCGAGGGAGACGTGCATATATCGACATGTTTCCAGATAAGAGAAAAAATCGAGGGTGAATTGTTTACTCTTTCCAGTACTTTCCAAAGAAATTTGAAATTTCACACTACCTTCAAATGCAAACCTGAAGGGTTCTGTGATAACAACAGAAGTCTGGTGATATACGAATCGGACCTCAGAGGGACGACTTTTCAGTGTCCTTCATGTCCAGAACAGAAAAAGCATATTGTTTGCACAAAAGATATCACCAAATACTGGATACAGGTATTTAAAAGATATATGTTGCTTTTACTAATCAAGTGGTTTTTTTACAAAACATTTTCCTCCCAAAAAGTCGTATACAGGGAAAAAACCTTAGTTTTTCTTTGCTTAATTAAATTTCTTTTCTTGTCAGAGCAAAAATTAACATTTTATGATCATACATTTCAAGTTTCACGATGATATCAAACCTAATAAGAAAATTTTGTCAAAATAAAGAAAGAATGTTAGTGTACACCGGCGCGCGAAAGCAAGCGTAAATTACGTCTCCTATAACAAAATGATCTCTTTGTCTGCTTCACTCCCGTCTTCATATTAACATTCAATATTTTTTAAGTGACTACTTTTGAATTATGAAGGGACTTATTTAAATTCACTACTCTTCGTTTGGTTTTCAATTGCTTTTTAAGCAGGTTCAAATTTCTGTCGAAATTCAGTCAAAAGATTGCCTTACATTGTACACAGCAGAGAATACATGTTGTTTGACGTCGTTCGCGGTCCAGATTCTTCCCTATTATCTGTGTTTAAGAAACAGTACTGTACTTCTTACATGCCGTAACTTTTTTTGGTATGGAGGAAAAACCCTCATTTAATACCGTACTATTTAAAGATACCTTCTTTATTAAAATCTGGTGTGTAATGTCACTTCTGTAATCTTTTTTTCTCATCCCTGATGTATATAAACCATATCCA